AATAATATATGTGATTATATAATATATTTTTGTCGATATATTGTTCTATGAAATCTTCGACAAGTGGACTAATTTAATTAAACAGAATATAATAGAGTCAAATTGAAAAGAATATCATCATTGTGTTCTTAGACTTGAAGAACGTGATAAAAAGAAAAGAAAAGATTTTAATTGTCCTTTACATGGTGATCAATAATCTTACACTCTAACACACAGCTTTAGTTTCCCGCGTTTCTCCTAACAGACGTCATTCTAGAATATCTTCTGCACCCAAATTCTCACAATTAGCAAGCCACGTGGTATAAAAGAACAAAAATGTGTTTTTATGAATTAGTCCAAATATTGAGCCAAGTCAGGTAATCAGATTTTCTATTGTTGAGTTTTTCATCAGTTCTTGTTAGGATTAAAAAACCTTATCACGTTTCAGAATTACAATTTGGTGTCTGATTTCTCTACAATTGAAAAGGAAAAATACGTTAAAATTTAGACCGTTGTTCTCATCATTCTGGCATGCAGTTTGTACCGATACTACAGTATAATGTCATCGGTTATAAGAAAGTTATATCGTGTCCATCAAGTAAGCAGATGCCACTATGAAATTATCTGTAGTCGGTGAGTCGGTGTAGAATTCTGTAATAACTGCAAGATAACAATGGGAACCCGATCTTAAAAGTTATACGGATAGCAAAGTTGAGCTCCATCACTTATTACAGAACTTACTTAGACGACTATACTCCTCTCAAAGACAGATTAAATAAGATCACCATTTTTTATTCCCGCTTGGAAGAAAAAGGTCAGCTGAAATTTGTACTAAATTTGTAGATTTGCTCAGTTATACTGCTAAGGAACGCAAGAATATTTCCATTTAAATCAAACTCATAACATGCTGGAAATTTCGCAGCCTTTAATTTTTCTAACCTTAAAATACCAGATATATTGCCCTATAACTAATAAGTATATAAAAAATTACAAGTGAAATTCTTTTCAGCCATCATGAGGTGTTTTGTGATTTTAACGACATTGTTATCATGCGCATTGGCGCAGTTTCCCACTGGCTACCCAACGACACCAACTTATACCACTACTAGTCCGACTTATGCCACAGCACCAACATACGCAACAACTCCAACATATACCACTACTCCAACTTATGCCACAGCACCCACTTACGCCACATCACCGACCTATACGACAACACCCACTTACGCCACAGCTCCCACTTATGCCACAACTCCGACCTATGCCACAGCACCCACGTATACTACGACACCAACGTATGCAACCAATGCTTATTATGGAACTGGATCCAGTTACGGAGCCGTAGCTCCATCTTATGGTACTGGAACTGGTTACGGAACAGTAGCTCCATCCTATGGAACTGGTTACGGAACAGTAGCTCCATCCTATGGAACCATAGCTCCTTCTTATGGAACTGGGACTGGTTACGGAGCCGTGGCTCCATCTTACGGTGCCATTCCTTATGGTGGTGTACCTCCATATGGTGGCGTACCCTCATATCCTAGTTATGGAGGATACCCAGCCTACGGATATGGTGCCCCGTCATATGGTTACAGCGGAAGTCAATATGGTGGCAGCCAATATGGAGGAGGATATTCAGGAGGTCGAGGAGGCTATTCACATGGCCGGGGAGGTTACTCAGGAGGCGGTGGTGGTTCACATGGCGGAGGTTCCTATTCGTAAATGGTAAGATATGTGTAATTATTCAAGTTAAGGGTACGGTTTTTCGGAGGTTACTGAATATAGATTTGGGGCTACTAAGGCGAAATGGTTATTCAGTCTTGGGAATTTTTAAATAAATGTATACATACATGTATATAGTATGCAGGATGGTGACCCATATTCGTCTCTTATTAGTCAACATGTTTGATGTAGTGTCGAACTGCACAGTGAAGCACATTAAAATATTATAAAGTTTCCATATTGTTATAAAATTGTGAATCTGAACGCCAATATGCGTAAATATGTTTGTTAATAAAATTCAAATAAATCACGAATGTCCCATCAAGGGAAGTAACCTATCATTCAGGGTAGACGAAATCCAATCAGTATTATATGGCACAACTTATGTCTTTCAATTTCTCTTTCTTTTCAGGAACATGCATGATATCTTCCATTCTTCCACCAACTTGTTTGTTTTCCTATTAAACAGTTTATCTTAAATTGGCAGTTCAATTCCTAGTTTATGTGAGGTTGTCTTACGCGAATTTTACCATTTGTCTGCTAGAAAAGATTTATAAGAAAACACTTTTGTGAAAATGTTACAGATAATTTCCAAATAAATAATGGATTCAAATGTAAAACAGATTGGAGAGGGGTAAAAGATGAGGAAATGTTTATATGAAAACACGTCCTCTTGTCAATATATGAATGTATCCGTTTTTTACTTCAACCAAATAGCTGCGCATGAGCCGCTGAATTTAACCAATCAATACCTTTTCATACGAGAGAGATTTACCACCGTCCACATATATCATTCGCGAAATTCGTTTACAAAATATAACGCATAATGACTATGTGAAAATCAGGTGATATTATTAAAATGTTATCATATACTTCGTTCCATAATACCAGATTTACCCTGGTTTTCCTTCGTATGTTAAGTCTACCACTTGACTGTATTGTGTTACCGGTTGGGATACAGGGGCTTTGCAAAATATCCGGAAATGACTTTATGGATTCATGAATGGTTCAGCGTTGTATATATACCAAAAGTTTTATCAAATTTGACATGGTGAAAATTCTCATAAGATGGAACGGAGCAACTCCCATAAAATGTGACATTTTGAGTCTTGCCAGAAATGTGACGATATCACATCCGTTCATCACGTCCGATGAACGGGTAGGGTAATATTTGTCGGGCTAGGTAGATTTATGTAATAGTCTCATGTTGAAGAGACTATGTTAATAGCAAGAGTATTTGTACATTCAAACGATACAAATATTCCAACAGTTTTATTCTACTTATTATAAACATAGAAAAAAACAAGAAACAAAAAGGTGGTAAAACGAAATAAATAATAAATAAATAAATAGTACATCAATATTACAAAACAAGAATGAAAGTTGGACATAGGGTTTCCATTTTTAATGTTACGGTTTGTCTTTTGGAGTGGAGTGTATATATATCAAATAGTAAAGTTATAAATATTACTATATACAAACAGGATTATAATATACAAGCAGTAGAATTTATAAACAGTACAGGAATAATAAGCCAAAAAATACAGCATCAGTAACCAGAACTCGTATCTTACTACCAGTACTGGTTATTCTCGATGCATTACTTGTGTAATCTGAAACAAAAACCATTATCAGGTGTAATAGATATCGAATGAGCGTTATTACGTGGGCTTGTTGAATATGATAACTAGATACCTAAATGATGTGAGGCATCACTCAACTGTAAATGTCATCGCAGTAGAAGAAGAATTTATATATAAATCATATAGCTTTAACAATATTAATATATGAACAGATGGATGGACGAAACGACGAAAGAGAATATGTCCAGAATAAAAACTTTAGACCCATCCTTCTTCATCGTACAACGCCAGAAAATAAATTCTGCCAAGGCCACCCAATCCATGACATGACATTTCATTAAAAAGAAATACAAGCTATATTTTGTCCCCGATATATATCTTTTCAATCCCTGTATTGTACAAAAAGTAACATATATAAATATTTCATCAGCAACACAGAAATCAAAAGGAATGTAAAAGTCAGTTCTATTTAAGTGTAGAGCTATCAAACGGGTTGGTTTGACTTTACTTCAGCTTCCCAAAGGTATAAATATACACTCGAACCTGGAATTCCTTCCGGGTGAATTTTTTATTAATCTTAAATTAGATCGGTTGGATCGAATTATCCAGTAGTGGGATTTCGCTAGCGAAGCAGCAAATACACTCATGTGTCCACTGAACGCACCTAAAATCATTTCAAACGCCAACAACCACTCGTTTCTCAAATATCACTGAAAAGAGGATGCATAAAATTGAAGGAAAGGTAATTACCTGATCCATTATACACAATACCATCAAAATCTATAAGGTTATATCTGTCAGTTGTATTACCCCTAGCTTGTATATGTGTTACAGAAGTTGAAGCAACCGTGTTATGATATCCACCTTGATAATCTGAATTAAATGAAGATAGCTTGCCAGGCCAGGTAATATACGCCTATTGGGAGCTTTGATTTTAAATAAAAATATTTGGCAGTACAGTAAAAATTGCCAGTATGAAATATTCATTCTTCAGTCTTTTGGGGGCGATACTTTATAATATTACCAAGTTTCGTCAAAATCTGGCAAGAATTGGGCCTTCTTGGGTGTTTACAGGCTAAAACTTGAACGCGTTTTTTTAAGAACAAGGGCAATAACTCAAACTAAATATTTTTCGACTTTTCTGATTTTCGATAGGGTTCATTCTTGGTTGATTAACACTCCCACCAAGTTTCGTCAAAATCCATCAAGGATTGTGCCTTATGGAGTGTTTATGGGCTTACTAATGGTACCGTCAATAGCTCATACTAAATATTTTCGATTTTTTCTGATTTTAAATAGAGCGTGTACGAGCTCAAAATTGAACGCGTTTTCGATTCTTCCAATTTTCGATAGGGTTCATCCTTGGTTAATAACAACCACTCACAAAGTTTTACCAAAATCAATCAAGAATTGTGCCTTCTTGAGTGTTTACGTGCTAAAATTTGAACGCATTTTCAAGAACATTTTCCGATTTTTCTGATTTTCGATAGGGTTTTATCTTTGGGTGATAACAAACATTTACACCAAGTTTCGTCAAAATCTGTCAATAATTGAACGTTCTACAGTGTTTGCAAGCTAAGGTGAACGCGTTTTCAAGAACAGGGGCAATAACTCATACTAAATATATTTTCAATTTTTCTGATTTTCGATACGGTTCATCCTTGGGTGTTACAAACATTCACACTACGTTACATCAAAACCTTTTAGAGTATTTCAAGAATTCGAGCAATAACTCATTCTAAATATTTTTTTCGATTTTTCTAATTTTCAATAGGGTTCATCCTTGAGAGATTACAAACAATCAAATCAAGTTTCGTCAAAATCAGTCAAGAATTGTGCCCACTAGAGTGTTTACGAGCAATTGTGAACGGACGGACGGACATGGGTGACGACAATAGACGTCCACCATTTTATGTGGGCGTATAAAAATCAGTTTGATAACAATAACTGTTTCTTAAAATAATGGGTTTCGACGTTAACAACGATATTGTTTTGATCGTTTTCAGATGGAATTCGAGCAATTATCCGCCCCTGTGGTTGACCCAATTAACAAAGTTCACCTTTCCAAATAATATATCGATTGGGTAACGATAAAACAACATTTCAGCCTATGCTGGAACCACAGTCTACAAGAGTCAAGTTACCCAAAAGCACTGAATATTGGTAAAGTCAGATATTGTATTCTTTTATTGGAAATTGATCGTACGGTTTTTGAGAGAATGCTCCAAATGTACCAACCTCAAAGGATGTAATATGAATTACTACCTACCGTAAAGTTGCACTGATTTCATTGTCTCTCCAATTTGATTAGCAGCCGTACAGGTATAGGTACCAAAGTCTGACTGATTAAGGTTTCTAATGACTAAACTATACACGTCTCGAGATAAACTATCTATAAAATGGTCTACTGAATGTTTCACTCCCATTCTGAGCATTCTATTCTTAAACTCCCAACTAATTATCGCCCTTGGAACGGAAGTGACGTAGCATTCCAATATGGTGTCTTTGCCTTTAGCTTGCCCTATTCTAGTAACAGGGAGCTTAACTTCCGGTGGATCTTAAAAAAAATATTAGATCGTGATGAAATCTGAAAGGTGAAAACTAGTATAAAATTTTTTAGATTGACTAAGTGAAGTCCTATTCTTGATATTTACTTAAATGGTACGATACGAAATCGAAGCTTTTGAAGCATTGGTTCTTCAACATTTTCAAGAGTAGTTTATTGAAGTCATTGCGTACTGTTCTTTATGGACATTTGTCGACTAAACTCAATGACTATTATATTCCCCGATGTTAAAAACTGTAACTTACAATGAACCGTGATCCGAAAGTTTCTATATACAGTTGGTAGGAAGTTATTATCAGCTAAACATTGGAACATTCCATCATCAGTTCGTCTGACTTCCTTTAATTTCAACGTTTCACCCCTACCAATTCCTGTATTGAAAGGGGAATAACTACAGTTACTAGCAGTTACAAATAATTCAACAGAAATAGCTTACCGGATTACAATATGTATCTTTATAACTTTTACTTACGTGTTTTAATATCACCAGATCTAGAGAGTTTAAACCAAGTGACAGTGGGTCGAGGTAGTCCGGTTGTCTGACAAAATAAACTGATAGATTCACCCTCTACTACAGTGATGTTAGATTTACTCGAGTTGGCGATCCTCGGGGAAACTGAAAAAACAACAATTATCATTTGTTAGCTCGGATAGGGAGTTGGATAGTCATCTCCTTGGCTATTGGATGCCTGTGTTTCGAATCCTACTCAAGGTACGACATATTAAGATGCCATCGCCAGCGCTTCAAAAAGTTAACCTTGTGTCAGTTTTAAAGCCGTTATCATCACACCTTTTGTATTTTTGTCATATGTCAAACAATTGTTTAATAAAAATGAATATACTGTTGCAGCTAATATGCAACATGATACTATAATATTCGTTCGAATCAGAACTGATATTTATCATTGCGTTGCATACATGTATCAAAGCACAATTTACGAATAACATTCTCTATGATCTTCACAGAAGAAGGGGAAACAGTCTTGCTTTGTCCATCTTATTGCCCGGACGCAGTATTTCACGATACAATTAAATGTTTTAATTGGATCTAACTCACCTCTAATGTTCAAAGTAACGGTTTGCTCTTGAACTGGTAGGGTGTTGGCAGTACAGGTATAGTTCCCACCATCTTCCATGTTAATCTTCTGTATTACCAGATTCCACTGTGAGGGACTGGGATTATTAACTCTTATACCAGCATTCCCATATACTCTGGATCCAATAGCTAATAGGGTACCAGTTGGGTCAAACCATAATACCTACGACATGAGCTAAGGTATATACTAAAAGTCTTGCACATTCGTTAATAAATCGAAATTTGATTGTCTGCTGTTTGTATCTGAATGACTTTCCGTTAATAAAACTTATTTTTTGTAATTCTACATTGAATAAAAAAACAACCGAAAATCTTCCCCTGTAAGAACATATTTCAAAGTGGTAATGTGTATCCATGTTTATGTTTTTATTAACGCATAATCATTCTAAGACTATCAATTTTACGTTGAAACTGATATTCTAATACAGATACGTATTCTTGGAAAAATCTGCCAACAAATGTGTCAAGACATAATATAAATACATAGGTTTGGGTATTCGTGTTAAAATGAAATGAAATACCAGAATTAATAGACGTTGGTAGTGGTTTTCTCAATGGTTCATCGTCAAAGGAAATCGCGTTACGATTTCTGAAAGGGTAAAAATACAATACCCAGCTTTTGATATTTACTATAATGATCTTAATGGTATATTACAATGTAATCCTTTAGACATTTTATCATTTTATCTCGTTAAGCAGATCAAGATCGGAAAGATGAAAATTAAGTAAGTACAAGGTTGGTTAAATTTTCAAAATTGTTAAAGTTTCTCGTTTTACCAAATGCATGTAGACCGAGGAAATGTGTTTGGAGATCATTCGACATTGTATTTAAAAACGGTTTGGGCTTCTATATAAATTACTTTCAATGATAAATTATTACTAGTATGCAATATTTATATAGTTAACTAGTATAGAGTCAGAGGAAGCATACTTTGATACATGAAGAAGGTGAAGGTGACCATGATATGGTTAAGTATATTGTTCTGAGCGTACGATATTATATTGTCCACATGGCGGATTATGACACGATAACAGTTGACCACAATTGATCTCTATTTTGTAATATGCAACCGATTAATTTTATTGATAAATTAATAATATTAATATTGAACAAATGTGACCTATTCCAAGTATAGAATTGGCAACTAAAACCAACTAAGTGCCGCCGACCATTCAGAAGAATAATACACCTATAAGTATATGGCAATATTACCTTATTGGCTTTCAGGTTTGGAAACGAGCAAGGGAGAATAGCAGTAGAGCCATTGACAACACTGACAGAGATCACCGGCCGACCTTCTAAATCACAATACACAGAGATAAATCCACCTAAAGTACAAGATAATTATATATATTGAACATGGTGATATGGTTACAGACAGTGGTGGGTGTTTAATACTGACTGTGTTGTCATAGACAACTTACGAAATTAAGAAATTGGATTTCTAAAAGTGTATACTGAAGGCAAAAGAAACGTCACTTCTGAAATACTGATACAACAGACGCTGGCACTGACATGTTCTGTTGTCACTAAACTCATTTGCTGTTCTACTGCCGATTGTTTGTTGCCTTTAAGTCTGTATCACACTGATTGATTTTTTCTGATTTAATTACATCATATGCAATGCAAAATGCAAATACAATCATGGTGTTTCTTTTAGCCTATCAGTATATCATGAAGGTTTGACACGGCAGCTTTTTGCCCATTTAAACAATATACAAGTCTGTATTCACGTTGTGACATCATTTAATTTTTTAACAGTGGCGTTCGCCGGAACACTTTTCCATGTTTGAGGTACATTTACGTAAAATTAATTTGCTTTTAAGTTTGCACAAAAATCAGTTTACATTACCATGCAAAGTAGGAAGTAAAAAAAACATTTATCGTGGACTTTATAAAAAATAAATGCTAAAAAAAACTTACCGACCAAAAGAAAGAGAGAGACTAAAGTAGCCATGATTTTGATATGAGAGTAAAAAGTGTGAGTATTAGTACTGAAACATGTGCTTAATTAGATTCAACTGTGACATTTTGTTTCATTAACAATATAACACCATATATTAATATTATTAGTCACATTGTGTAGAATATTTTATTTATTAATAAACATTTGATCACATAGAGGATAAACTTGCTACCATCTTCTGAACTATCCTCCACGTAGTCATTCTTAATTATCTATAGTCGTAATAATGGATTATTTACGGTAGACAAACGATGGATATTGCGAATGTCAATGTCACCACTGAAATAGTCATGGGAATCATTGCCTCTCTGTCGTGCGTTCTGTAAATACTTCTTGCTGTGAGCTGGTTGACTTGAGCTATTACTAACCCTCAGAAGTTAAATATCGTCAAAAGGTCAACTACCAACTCCCCCACACACTCAAGAAGACTGAATTTAAGCATTCGAAATAATATTTCTAGGAAGGTGACTTGAAGTTGTTAGAAAAGCTGCGATTTTACAACATTTCATCAATAAATTCTTCAACTCAGAATCGTGAAATATTACTGTAAAATGTCATGATATTAGCATTTTATTTCATTAATCAGATTAACAATTAATATATTAAATAAATACAAGAAACACGTGTAAGTGATCAGGTGTTCACTATGTTGTCATGTGGCATTGGTCTTCGGACGTTATATCTTCTACAACCTAGCTAGATCGTCGTTTCAATCTGATTAAGCACACTTTTACCAAACATTGTTTGTTTTATCTTAACTCACTTATTCTGTGAAATTTCACCCACTGGTGGTGTTTTAGTTGAAAAAAGAATTTAATTGATGGAATTTGCGAAAACAGCTTTCTCATTAATTTAATATTTCGAATGAGCAGGATGGATCGCAGAGAAAAAACAAGTCGAAATTGCGACTTTTAAATTCGATTGTCGACTATAAATGGTGCCAATTTAATCAAGTACAAGAAAAATACCCGATCCCACGACCTGATTGTCCACAGTTGCAATATAACCATTTACCTTTTTACCTTATACCTTAAAGTAACACGGTAAATTTATTAGATACAGAATATATAATTTGTTACAACAACAAGCTCTCGAAAAAGCTGTCTCTTGCCGTAAGTCAGACGTAATGAATTTTCTGGGGGTTCTGAGTACGGATAATTGATATAATTGTTTGATATTATGCTAAATTATATGTGACAATTACATTGCCTACAAAATTATCGTGTTTCACTTGAAAGCAATACTTGTATGTAGTACGATTGCATTAACGTTCCATTGATATTGGTTGGATTATATGGTCATTTGACTAAAGCGGGTCACCTAAAAAAACAGGCGAAGGCAATACACATTTCCTTACAATTCAAATACCTGCAATTAATATTCCGTTTGTAGACATATGATACGTTACAGCAGGAGCCACCACTCCCTACCCCACAAAGACACACAAAAAAATAAAAATGATGGGATAGTAATTTTATCTAAATGTTTGAAAACAAACCCCAACAAAATGGCGGGGTGCTGTGTCAGCGAGTGGACGTATGACCTAGAACGGAGTGATTATTAAGTATACCATTTGAAGGTCATCATTAAATTGTGTAATTATAGTCAAATTGTAGGAAATCATCCCACACAATACTGTTCCAGATTGAATGATGAACATGTACATTGTGTTTGGCTTTCTCGTTATTTTTGGTAAGTCCATTCCTTCTTCTTTCTATCAGTAAACCAGTTACTCGCTAAGTTCAGATTCCTGAACACGTATTCTCGAAACGATCTTAGCGCTAAATATCCTAGATTCTTATCTTCGAACATTGATTTTAGGACATCCTAGCGCTAAGATCGTTTCGAGAATACGTTGCCAGGGTCATATGCTATGCTGGATGGATTAAGTGCTTACAAATGTGCAATAGGTATCTTCTATTTGTGTCAGAGATTGGCCAGTTAGCTTCTTGTTGTTCCGATGTGACAATAAACTGAAATCCGTGTGCTACAGACTAAAGATCCCGAGGCAGTTGCCCCACAGAATTTTCTCAAACGATTACCCGAAAAGTCATCCTGCTATTTTGTTCTATTGTCTGATTAGAATAGTAATGATTTACAAAAAAGCCACGCTCCCTGCAAAACATTATTCGATGACATTTTTTTGGTAAGAATACCCCACCTACAGATAAGAATAACTGTAACGATAATAATGGCATAATGTGACCATAATCATATTTATGTGTGCTACAAACTGTCCATGCTAAAGATCCTCAAACAATTGTAAGGGATTTCAAAGGATTTGTCCCAACCATTATCCCCATCTTTCTATTATCTGATTGTGTTTTGTAGGATTCTGGTCCGAAGTGTTGGCTATTCCTGATCAGCGTATATTCGCAAATCGGGGTTCAACTCTGATTATACCATGTAGACTCCCTAAATTCGACACTAGTCAGTACAAGGTAAAATCTGCAATAACTTGTCAGGTTTATAAACTTTTCTGCATTGGACAAACCAGCATAAAAATGGGTGCATACACATGGTTCAAGACCCTTAGGTATTTGTGAGACAATGTTCTGTAAACAAAAGATTTGTTCAAAGACGTTGAAGGATTACTATCTGCTAGGTTGATATTTTAATTCACTGAAAGTAACTTATGCTACATTTATACTATGTTCCCGGCAGTCACAGCAATCAGGGTCCATACCAACTTTGGAAAACATGAGATACGATGGGCATGGGGCGGGCCAACAAAGCCGTAAAAAAATTGCCACGACAGGCACGGTGCGGATGAGAAACATAATAGGCCGTAGTAAAACTGGATAAATACTACAAAAAGTGACAGTATGTAATAGGCCTTTACAAAAAAAATTTCCGTTGTGGGAGGGAATCGTATGTATTCTTCTGCATTTGTTCCGTTTTGTAACGGTTCTCTAGGCAAGCTGGGTGAAAGACAGCCGTTTCGTTACGCTGCACAATACGTTTTGAACAAACGTAGCAGTAGCGACTCGACCTCCGTTAGCTGAGGGAGTATCAATTCTTTCTTCCAATACTCAATTGTTTGTGTTGATATTAGGTGACCTGGTCACGCGACGGAGAGACCGATACTTTTACAATCGACCATCAAACTCCAGGGTCGCAGTATTCAGTTGTACATGATGACTTGCATTGGAATCTGAAAATAGAAGATCTTCAGCTAAACAACGACGGAGAGTATGTTTGTCATCTAAATAAAACACCATCAGTTATACAAATCACACACCTACAAGTACAGGGTAGGTGGCTATTCTCAATTGATACAGGGTTGTTAATTATCATACAGGTTGACAGGACAAGTAACCCGGATTCATAATGCAACTAGTATATTGTGTATGCTAGAATCATAACGATTTCTGACTTACGATGGCTATTTTCTAATGCATGTACTTGATTTGTTAATTTTTATAACATTTCAAGATTCAAGATTCAAGATAGTCACTTTCTAATACTTGGTTACTTTATAATATCTTGAAATTCGTAATACGTGCTATGTTATTTCATAAGATCTTGAACACCCTAGATTCTTATACGATTTGTTACAAGGTTTTTTTTTTATCCATATCGTGCTTATTAGGTAGCAGATTGTATTGGCCAAATGGCAGTTTCCTGTAGTCATATTATCGAATAATCATGTCGAGTCTCTGTAGGGCGGTTTGTTGTTTTTGGACTATAATACCTTTGACTAGGTGTGGTTTGCTAAAGACTTTTATTTTGATTCACCAGATACTAAATTAGATAAGAAAAGAGTTTTCGAAGCGAAAGAAAGAGAGTATGTAAGGATAGAATGTCCAACAACATTGACACAACAACACGATGTCAGATGGTACAAGAAAAATAAAGAGGCAAAATATTATAGTAAGTGTAATAAAGTAAAGTTAACTAGGCCTAAGCTAATAAATCAAGTAATAACGATCCGAACAGCAAAACCAAACAATGGTAGCAGCTAATGAACTTTTTATATGGGAAGTACATCAATCAGAAGTATTTCATAATGAAAATTGGTATTGTGAGTCAAGAAGAGAAGAATAAAATAGGCCTACCTGGCGCCACATTCGGCATAGTTGCTTAAATTTCTGCAACAAACATGACAAACAAGAAGGCAAAACAATACACGAACTTCACTGACCAAGTTCCAGGGGAGATAACTGATGAAAATGTTTTCACCCAGTTTTAACAGTACAACTCGGTGAACTGATCACAAAAGATATATTATGACAATAAAGTTTATACATACAATACAAAATTCAGAAGCATTCTCTATTGAAAAGTGGCATCAAGAGTCCTTCCAATTCTTTGCTTTTGGCGAACAATTGCATTCAATATTATTATGTAATCTTAGATAATTAAAAAATATTGACTCTCTTTTCCAAAAGTAGCATATCATTTAATATAAGGTTGAAGATAAAAGTTAGATTCTTTTCTAATATTTTAGAACCACTATGACAAAATAAACACTATTTTTCTCTTCCGAAATTCCCAAAGCTACAATAATAATTGGATGAGTGGAACGGATTGATTTGTCTTCAACACAATTTCACTTTCTTCTGTGTTGACCTCAATATAAGGCATTACGTTGCAAGTATTTTTCATCGTCGATTTTGGTTATTCCACAATTCCCATCATTACACAGAATGAATCAATTAATGAATCCGCGATCCTACTCTGAACTTCAAAGTTCAGATAGATTTATTTTTGATGCTTTCAATCTTGAAATGATCTGAGAATTTTATTCATTAAGTCGTTCCCCTTTAATGTCATATATTTTTATTTCTACTATTGAATATTGATTGTATATAGGTTGAAATATTTAGTGTTCTGTTTCTTTGTATGACAATTCTTGGGCTATAGCAAGTATTTGTTTTGCTAAATAAAACAATACAACACAATGTAAAATCAATTTATTATCCTAGGTATTGGACGTTTTATTGTGATGTTTAATGTAAGTAAGAATGATTCTGGAGAATATAGTTGTGAAGTGAATTCCGGATATTATAAATACTCCAGACGATTCACTCTACATGTGAAAGGTAATCTATGTTAGTTTCACATTTCTCGGCACATTTCCACAAAAATTCATACAATACGAATTTGTCGCCAGTGTGGACTTTAACATAGAGAAATACTATACAAAAACGTGGAACGTGGCTAAGAACTGGTTGATATGAACTTCCCTTCTTTATCTCCCGCTGCAATTCTCAGTGCTACTTTGATATCTCATAAAGCATAAGATAATTTTAAAAAAATGAGTATTATTCAAGACTTTTTCAAAAAATATAATTTTTATCGTTGAAGTCTTTATCCTCGTCCATCGCTGAGCGTTTAATTCATGTTCTTAATGTCCCTTATGGTGAAGGCGATGGATTTCAAGAGATTATGTTAGGGAATATATCGAGTCCGAAAAGGTGTGACCCAAGTGTTTTGATTAAATTTTAAAACAATTTGTTATATCCTATGTGAGTAAAATATTCCCTGTGGTGCATGATTATTGTACTTCAATGTAATGTTTTTGTTAATGATATTCATGTGGTAATTGCAAAGCATTTGTATCGCTTTCATTGTTTTTTGAGAAATATGTTCTTATTTTTACATGGAATTTGCTGGAAATCTTTATAAAACCAATTACTATTGTATGAAAACAGAACATAAATAAAAGGACTCGATGTATCAACCAAAGTCATATTCTTTTTTTTTATTTTTGCCCTGGAAGCTGTCCCACCAACAAACGTAACCGCAGTTCAGGGTTCCACTGTGATTCTACCTTGTAACTTTACAAGTGTCGACCTGAGAGCGTTTAATGTAAGTTAGTGGAAACAATTTCAATGCTTCAGAGTAATATGTTATTAAGTCATTTGCATGCAATAATACATACATGTAGGTAGAGACACATACCACCTGTTCTATTGTTGGTGACTCTTGGTAAGATCGAGGTATCTTCAAGTCAGAAACCAATACTTACAATGCTAAATCCTTACAAAATTACGAAAATTAAAACGATTTCTGTGCGAATATCTGTAGATTTGTATTATATTTTTGTGTTTACTCAGAAATATGAATAGATTGCGTTCCTTTATGTTGTTAATATTTCATTCGTAATATATTTTTCAGGTAAAGTGGTTCCATGGCAAGGGACGTAACCGTACCTTGATATCTATTGGTAACAGATATTCATTTATAAACGATCAAGCTCATACCTGGAATCTACAAATTGATGACCTTCAACTTAGCGATGCTGGAGAGTTCACATGTCAAGTCAACTCAGGCCCACATGCACGAAAGATTGTTAATCTAAATGTTCAAGGTATTTTAGCTTCCCCTGGTTGGTAACTGTGATGATCGTCTCCAAATGAGGGGAATTGCGTTTCTATGAATCACTAGGTGGAAGGAACGAGTCAGGGCCAATTATCTGAGTGGCAAACAGTACCATGCACTTACAAACTGAATAATAAGAAGTTTTACATCGGCTACGAAGGGGCGGGGGGGAGGGGGGGTGGTGTTGAGGCTCGTTAAAGACGGACTAGTCTCATTTCTGAAAGGTGAATCCTCTGTGCCCTCCGTAGAGTTGACACTGAATCGTCGCCATATTTATTTGGAGAGTTACTGATCATTTAGGTACTTATTTAAGTTTTGAATCAAAATTGTTGGCTTTCATTTGTTTATTTTTAATTATTTAACTGTTTATCAAAATTTTTAATCATATATTCTTCTAAAATCCAGATGAACCTTTATCTGTTTTTTTTTTTGTTTACAATAGAATTAGAGAATCAAGTTAGAAATAAAACAGCATTTCAAGGTTCAACCGTTGTCTTACCATGTTTTTTTAATCTCACTAATGACCCCCGTAATAAAGTGGTAAATATATATATAATTCTGATTATTACCCATATTTATTGTTAAATACAACATCGAGCCTTAGACAAACGAATTAAAAAATAATTCCAGTTCAGCAATGTTACGAATACTTTAAACAAAAAATCATCACCATCACCTTTCACCTAATCATCATCGTCATAATCATTCGATAGCAAGGTTCAGCATCCACCATCATCATAATACATTACTCAAGAAAACATCAATCACAATTCAACCATGATCAAACATCATTTATCATCATTGTTATATTTTTTAAGGTAATATGGTTTGATAAAATGAGAACAGTGTCAATTAACCACATGTCGTTTGCATCCCGGCATAAAACTTTACGTCCACTAGAACACGACTGGAATTTGGAAATTACTGACGTTCGGCCGTCCGATACTGGAAAATTTACCTGTAGCTTGGTTACCGATCATGGTGCAAAACTTAGTAACAAAACTTTTGTTTTAAGCGTTGGAGGTACAGGCTTTAGTTTTTATGTTAGAATTGTATTAAGTATAATGTATTGATGTAATTATCAGAGGTTTATTCATACTTTCATACTGTAACACATTTCTCCTTGACAGTATGACGCTAAATTTCACTACATTTCAAGAAAGAATTTCAATCGGCGAGGTCAATTAAATGATCATATGATCATTTCCTTTATACAAAATTTCAGGTCCACCAAAGTTTGAAAAACCGTTACCAGAAGAAACGATGGTAACGGAAGGAGAATCATTGACCTTGACCTGCAGTACTTCCGGTTCACCTCAACCATTTGTCACGTGGTATGAATATGCTGACCAGTATGAAAAACGTAAGTTTTTAGATTGCTTAGATTGCAGTACAGTATCAAATTCCTATTTATAATAGGCAGATAGAAGTGCAACAGCTAGTTTTTTCGTAGTGAATAATATCATACAGGGTCAGTGTCCACCAAATGTCTATCATCGTGGTTTGAGGTAGCGAGTTGACATGTTAATGAAGTCAACCACTATCTATTCTGCTCATACTTCAATTTGGAACTCGAGTACGATTTCGCATATCACAAGGTTACAGACATGTATTGGTGGTATATAACAAAATTGAAAAATATATTGTCAGAAGCTAGACAGTATAATTTAGCAAGAAATGCAGAGTGTTTTTTAAGCCGGTAAAAGAGTGGCATCCTCTAGGAGAGGATCATTGTGAGAAAAATTACGTGTTCAAAGATAAATATTGTTCAATCAAAATTGACCCTGCTGTCTTGCTAAGAAAATTTCAGCCAAGTTGAATAAATCACTTGTTATGGCGCATTAAAAGTTGTAATTTATATGGACGGTACAGAATTGAGTTAGATTTTAGGCCACTGAACGAAGTGTAGAGGTCTTAGTGTAATACGACTTAATAAAACCCTATTCGATGGAAGAGGTGGTGTTAATGTTTTATTATAATAATCTCAGTCGTACATTAATGTTCTTTACTAATGTACATGAGCTGGTGAATTAAGCTTTTCCGTGGACACACCGCATGAGAGATGTATTATACCTCAAGGAAATCCTACGTAGATTAGACTTATTGCTTGGACAGATGCCTTTGGAAAGTGTGATTTATAATTCCAAGATTTTATTTCATTTAAAGGTATTGTATCTCATGGACCAAATTTGACCTTTCCCCATGTAACTCGCTATGATGCTTCTACTTTTGAGTGCATCGCGGAACACAGTTTTCCACCCACAATCAACATGATGACAGACGTAAAGGTCCAGTGTAAGTAGAATTGCTTGTGAATATTTCATCATTTTTAAGGTCATTTTTCCCAAAGTTCCCGGGGATTTACCTTTTTTTTACTGTACGATAAACTTCTACGATAGGAAGGTGATAATGTTGTATTTTGTTGTTTTCTGGATTAGGTTCGCCGTTTAAGCCCTTCTTTAGTAATATGCTACATCCAATATTAAAATTGCACGTCGTGTCGATAAAATGTTTTGTGATGTCGACAAAAACTCTAATGAGCATGGATTAAAGGGTATCTTTACCACAAGCTTCCTTTTGCATGAGCTAAATTACTGACAAGACTGTTTAGAGAAGTAAGGTTGATTAGTTAGGATATATTTCAATTTTAGTTGCCCCAGAAATACAGTTCCTTGAGGAAAGGCTTGAAGTACAGAAAGGATCGGAAACCATTTTGAAATGTGACGTCACTTCCTATCCACAGGCCGCTGTTATGTGGATAAAAGAAGGGAAGAAACTCTTCAACAGTTTGAAATACAGAGTAAACGTTACAGAAGAAACGGGATATACCAAACGTTTGACTCTGACTATAAAGAATATGGAAGAAAGTGATTTTGGTAGTTATGTTTGTGAAGCTAGAAATAAAGTTGATAAAACTCAAAAGACACTCGAAGTATTCGGTTAGTACATTTCAACATATAGCCTTGTCCCAAAGCGTAACATCTATTCATTAACTGTATGCAGAACAGTTATCAGAAGGGAATTAATGAATTTTGTGTAATGGAAACAAGCAAGCATTCTAGAAACATTCCAATTCTGACAAACCACTTAGATTTTTACACAGAGCCTTTTCCGAACAGATTCAATAGATTGGTGGAATCTCTTCCGACATAATTTCATCAAAAAATACTCGTTAAGTCACTGCAATTCTCTTAATTCGACAGAAAATGACTTTCAATAGTTTTCATTATGAAATTTATTAACATAAAAATGTCAGATTTCTTATTTTGTATTTTTGTGGCTTTGTATTGCAAGCAAAGACCCTTATGTGACATCTGAGCTATCTTTACTAATATAACTATTTCCTGAAATTCTGCAAGATAATGAAATCACCACACTATAAGCACGGTGGACATTTAACAAGACTAGAAGAATAAAATGTTTAGTCCTTACCAATATCTACTTAGTGTGGATTCCCTAGTCAATCATAGCAAACGACGGCAGATAGGTAAATCTAATGTCATAAATTTCAACAATCTGTTTCTCTTTCAGAATCCGAAATGAAAATAGACAGTAAACCTAATAAAATAGGCGAAATTGGAAATATACGTAAGTGATAATTTTGTATGTTCAAAGTAAAATATAAGGATGACAATGAGCTATTTTCAAACAACATACATCCATCAAACGACGTACTAGTACAGTGAGGCTTCTCAAATATGTACCTCAAACAGTCCATAAATTTGGGGTTGTATAGTAACGAAGAGAGAAGCAATGGCAGCAATGTTATTTTTAAATATTTATAGCAAAGCCTGAAATGGAACCTAAGAAGTTAAGGTGAAAAATAAGAAAAAGGAACTGTTTAGGACAAGTAATTAGCCACCTCATTAAAATTCCATTACAATTTCATTTTTTATTCTACAATTATAAGGACTCAAAATAGAAACGAAATTGTGATTATGTTAATTACATTGTGTTATTAAAAGGTGGCCAGAAAGCCAAAGTGTAGGCTATTTGGTCAGGGCTAGATAAATGAAATTGTATGTTACATACTTAGGTGTCATTTCGGCGAAGAAAGGTTCAACAGTCGCCCTACCCTGTAAAATGAAGACTGAGCACACAGTAAATCTACCAGTAAGTGACAATATATTTTTTTTATTCTGAATTTATGCTATTGTGGTTATCATCATAATATATATATTCAATTAAGCTATTTGTTCCTAAGTTAACCTTTCATATTTGCTTCACAGAGAAATATTATCAATTTGTATCAACTGTTATTCCCGACTGTACGACATTGTATGTACCCTGAACATACGGCTCATGCTTGTTCACGAGGACTTTCATCATTCGCACAGCCGAAGTGCGTGTCGGTGTGGCTTTAACCTGTATTGTATTGTATTGTATTACTTACAGGTATTATGGTATAAGACCGAATCAAAGACCCTCCTGTTTATTAATTTATCATCACAAACCAGTGACCCAAGATTCGCATTACTTCGACCATTACCCAACATATGGTCTTTGAATATAAGAAATGTACGAGAAGAAGACGAACAGAGCTATTCGTGTTTGGTTAATACAGAGCCGAAAATGATGGAAACATTTTACCTTAATGTGGAATAATGTTATTCTAAAATAATGTGTACTTCTGGTTTTAAGAAAAAACAGTTTTAAAAATAAGTCGTTTTCTTATTTCCCTTCCTATATTGAGGCAAAGTATGCCGACGACTGATATAAAGTACCATACCACCACAAATAAATCACATTAATACAATATGTTTAAAAGCTCTTTCTATAGTTATCATAGTTTGTCTGGGAAGAAAAACTTTATATGAACTTTATAAAAAGGTCAATTCAAAAAAAAAAAAAAATCTTAAGAAGCCTCTCAAAATGTCAAATAATATTATGTAAATAATATATTAACCAATATCATCGAAAAATCATGACAAACTGATATTACGGAAAACCACAAATCCGATTCGGACCATCTATTCCAATTTTTCAAGGAAGTGATTGTCCCATCATAGGCCTGTATATTTGGGAGAATCAGGCCCATTGAATCAATGAATGTTTGTTTTTTGAAGAGAAAATGTACTGCTGCTGTTTCGTAAGATAGAACAAATATTCTTCCACCCAGTTTTGAGATATGAAGCGTGAATACTGAAGCCACTATGTATGTAATAAATAAAAACATCACATTTCGATAACATTAACTGATCAACATAAGCAGATTCTTGAAAATTACATTCCAGTGTTAAATTAGACCGCATATTATCTGTATTCATGGTGTAAGTGTAACTTAACGATATATCTTGTACCATATTTAGATATAGCACTTTTTCTCACATCCAGGTTATCTGTGGCCACAAAAATCCTAGATTTATTATGAACATGTCCATCAATAAAATTCCACACCTTTGAAATAGCAACAAGAGGAAATCCAATATAATCGTTGGGTAAATATTTACTGCGATCTATTCGTAAATATGCCCAAACTAGTTCCTTTCCCGATTTTTTGGCATCTGAATTTATTGCTCCCTTTGACCCTATTTCCACTACTTGACTAAGTAGTTTGTCCGTAGGAATCATGAATCTGCTCCAAGATTTCCGAAATATACTACCTCTTCCCTTGTTTCTTACTTAAACAGGTAAAAACTTAGCATATTTTGTGCAATTGTTACAAAATTCACGCAATTGGTTTAATGTACAACACCTCCTCAATCTCTGAGCCGTTCATGTTAATGTTAATCACAGGTTCATCAACGCCTATAAAATCCAGTGTTTTACTTCTTTTACCTTTCAAGAGTTTCAATTCATCGTCGGTGAATATCCAATTATATTCTATGGTGGGTTTATAATAGGGTTCGATATCACATGGGGTGGATATCAAAATTTTAAATGTTTGTTTCCACACCAATGAAAGTAAAAACAATAAAACTAGTCCTCTCTGCCTGTCACCTCAGCCATCACAATCTCTCTTTTCATCGCACAGATATACCAAATATTTTTCGTTCATTTGTACCACATTCTTTTTACTTGCATCGGTAACACGTGGCACGAAGGTAGTTATGCCTATTTGATTTCGACGTAATGAATACCATAGAATTGTACATATTAATAATACTATAGGAATATACAGCGGAAATTCGTCTGTTAACCCGATGACTGTATCTGTAAAAATTCAAAAGCACACAAAGTCAATGCCCATTACATATAAGTCTCTGTGACCTGGTGTTTGGGGACGGAGTGAAACACAAGAAATGAAAGAAACTGATACTCATTACCCTCGCACAAGAGTCCAGTTAACCCTAAAAGCATACCTTTTCCTGGTATAATTAAGTCACAATTTTTGCAATTCTGTCAAATTTGCCCAAGCTACTCTAGTGATTTCAACCAAGCTTGGCCGATTGTTTTCTCAACTCTAAAGGTGCATTGGTACTGGAAACGAATTTTAAGAAACATAAAAAGTCAGTTCCACCATAGCAAAGCACAGCTAAGCACAGTCTTTATGTCGTCATACATACAGGTTTAAACAGATGCACAGATCACAGAAACCGTTCATCCGATTATTACCAATTACGAACTCGAGTGAGATCTCGTCAATATTATACATGCATACCTAGTTTCATCTAGGTTGGATAAAAATTGTAATCTCTATCGTGCCTACAATCTCATGACTTTTGGACTTTCGTAGGGTGTTTTAGAAACTGTATTACTGGTCGAAATATTGATTATCATTTCTCTTCATAGTCTGGATGAAGTTCATATTTCCTCTTCTACAGAGTAAGTTAAATCAATTCAAGTATTTTATATTAGCAATTTATGAAGGTATATACCTCTGTATATACCTCTGTTAAAGACTTAAAATTTGTTTAGACCTACAGCATAATATATCTACTTTTGAGCAACGAAAAAAAAGAAGAGAATATTAGGTTAAGTTGTATAAATGGAAGCCGATGAGAAAACGAGGAAAGATAGCTTGCCAGGCAAGGTAACATACGCCCACTACCAGCTGTCAGGAATGATAACAAAGTCTGTAGTGGTTTAATATGTGAAACCAATCATCCAATTGTTATTAATTTTAAGTTTTAATGAGATCTCATTAAGATCGGATAAAAAATGTAGTCACTACAAGCCAAATTAGACGCCTTGAACTAATTCAAGGGCAATAACTCCATAACAGTTCATCCGATGGTTACCAATTAAGAAATTGACTGAGATCTTGTCCATATATACATGCATACCAAGTTTCATCGTGATCAGTTATACCATGTAGCCCAATTAAACGCATTGATTTAATTCAAGGGCAGTAACTCCAAACTCGTTCATCCAATTATTACCATATTTTAACGTGAGATCTCATCTATACATGCATACCAAGTTTCATCTAGATCAGATAAAAAAAAACGCAGCCAAATTTGAAGCGTTACTCCAAAACCGTTCATACGATTAAGACCAAATTCAACCTTGACCGAAATTTTATCAATATATTTTTAAGTTTCATCAAGATCGGATAAAATTAGCACCCCTTTTCCTGCATCCAAGCCAAATTTAACACGTTTTTACTAAGTCAAGGGCAATAACTCTGAAAGCATTCATCCGATTATTACCAATTTTGAACTTGACCAAGATCTCATCAATATATACATGCATACTAAGTTTCATCAGATAAAAATTGCAGCCTTTATCGCACATACAAGCCAAATTTAACAAGTTTTTACTAAGTCAAGGGCAAAAACTGTGAAACCATTCATCCGATTATTACCAATTCGAACTTGACTGAGGTCTTATCAATATTTACAAGCATTGTAAGTTTCATCAAGAAAGGATAAAATTGTTAGCCTTTAGTATGCATACAAGCCAAATTCAACGCGTTTAAACTAATTAAAGGGCAATAACTCTGAAACTATTCATCCGATTATTACCAATTTCGAACATGACCGGGACTCATCAATAAATACA